CGGAATATGTACCACTTCTGGCGCACACGAATTGTGGAGCAATTCGTTGCCCATTCATCCGAACGAATATTATCGGTAGTTGGTTAATGGTAGCGCTTCGTTTTCATATACAAGCCTGGTTTCAAGTAACTGACCATGTGTATCACAAGGATTATGATGACCCCAAGAACACTGATCCTCGATCTCTGTAAATGTTAATTTGTAATTGATGCGGAGATCTTCTGTGCATGATTAACAAGTAGTGCTTTTCGATCATTATCATGTTAACTTTCGTTCAAAGTTGCCCATTAGCCGTATGTTTTGATGTATGTCCCTTGCGTTGTATAATATTTCGATACTTCCAGCATGCTGCCGCTCGTTCACAAACATCGCCCTCTGTGTAGCCTTCGCAGCCCTTCAGGACTACTCATTTGTGAAGACAAAACTGTTGATGAGGATTTATTGCAGAGCATTAATCATCTTGAGAATCAACTTGGTGTCTAAGGTCAGTGTTTGATTCGAGACATCTCTGTACAGAAAAAGAGTTCAGTGTTTATCAGTGATGTTATCACATTTGTTCTCTTTTATGCTTAAATATATCATCGTAGTTGAATGTACTCCAGACTTTTGGGTGGGCATAGCGTCATGTTCTTGTCTTGATCTCTCACAAAATCAAGTCCGTTGAACGCCGCAAGATGTTCTTGTAAAAATCTTCCTTACATTATGGAAGTTGTATAATAGTCGCCCGTCTCGCGAGCGGTCCTGCTACAAGTGACGCTGGCGCAGCAAATTTAGGACTTGTTAGAATTTAATTAACCCTTCTAAGTACACCATGCTGTGGTTCAGTGGATGGGTTCCGTGTGAAAACAAGAGAGGAATTGCTTATACCTCACTTGAAGGAGGATTGCATCATAATCTTGGAGGTTGAACAAGGGGAAACCCATCTAGTGGTAAGGCAGGCAAACCTTCGAGAGTGCGATACGATGCGCGTTCCGGAGCGTATGCCCCAGCTGCCCAGCAGTCACGCCCACGGCACATCCACCCTCTCGCAGTCTGACTAGCTGAAGGAGACAAAGAGCGTTACCGTTGAAGAGAATGGCACTGGTGAGAGACACATAAATGCGGAAATCAACAGGCAAAAAAGGGTGCCATTTCTCCGGTTCTGGGCCGTTTCTCATGGTTTTTCTTCATCTATGCACCACTGACCACCTCTACCTTGATTTGTAATGGGGTTCCGTTTCATCGTTAACACCGCTTTAATAGAAGAGTGAACGGTCTAATCGTAAGCTGCAAAAATACAACATCAACCCGCCACGCCGCGCCCTTGGGCTAGTAACATCATAAGCTGTTAGATTAAAATAGGTGTGAGGAGAGGTTGTACCAGCTAGTGGTATTTTAATGCGAAGACTTACCAGTGCACCCAATCCATCTGCATGGTAGTGGTAATTCCTGTTTCTAACACGGTTTTGGCCCCAACCATCCCCAGTTTGTACTGTAGCAGGGACTTATATGTTCATATTTATCTACCTATAATATTTTGCAGCACTGTGTCAGTGTAAACTTTAATGCGTTTCATATGTGTATGTATAGACCATGCGTACGTTAAATTTCTCCTGATTCCAATTTCAGGATTTGAGGTTTGCAGTTTGCGACAAAGGGGTGTATTCCCATGCAGTGCAATGAGAAGAGCGACGGAAATCGTGCGCTTTCTCTAGGAACATACGGGTACTGCGACTGATTTCGACTTTGAACTGTGATTGTTTGTTTCATTGCTTTGGTGTACAGTTTTTTCTCAATTTCCATAGTCAGATTTATCCTTGTTTTATAAATTAATTAATGTCTGTGATAAATGATGAATATTGAAAGGATGTGTCGTCCGATCTTGTGACTAGAAAGTTTTTCTTGAATATTTTACTCATTGCCAAATAGCAAGTGGTCCTTGTTCCATAACCACTTTTAGATACATAACAGCTGCTACAACATGTTTTGTGAAAATTCTAAAGAATGATAGACATGGCCAGCAGCGCAGAAGAGGATCTGCAAGAGGGTGAAGTTGCAAAAATAGCCACAGACGGCTCTTCGGATGATGATGAAATTCTCCTTGAACCACGCTTCAAATATGAGCGTGTTGAGGGCCAGGATGCTAAACAGGTACGTGTTCTGTTTTATGAGAGCATCAGTGGTAGTCTGATGGCTATCCTCCTGTCGCATAATGCGTGCCAGGAAAGGTGCACCTGTGAGTTGGCTGAAGTTGAGGGTGACATCTATTCATTCCGCTCCCAATGGTTTCTTGGCTTCTTTGAGTTTAAGCTGTAACTTTTAGCTTTCCTGAGCTCGGCAAAGCAATACCCGTTTGCTAGTACGGCTGTGATTTATTCACTCCTAGCACAACCACGGCACGGGAATCGAGCTGAATCGAGTGCTAAACAGCCAAGCTGATGCGTTGCCTTTTGGAACATACTTACCAGGAAATGGTTTGAACTTCCCATGGAACTTTGAAAGGAGACCTAGGTACATCGATAGAGTCTTGGACGCTGATTACAAATATGGACACTAAAACTGCTACGTGAACTTTGTAAGAAAGTTGTGAGCCTTAAAAGTTGCAAAAGAACGCTAATGATGAGGTGCAACCTATGTGGAAACACGGTTGCTTTTTGCCTGGAACTTGTTCTATAAGGGTAAATGGGTGCCCTGATTACGAATATGAGACTCGTTTTGGCGCAGAGCCACGGCGACTGTGATTCCAGGTAAGCTCGCCTCAGTAACGTTTTTTTTGCCAACTTTGAAGGCTCATAACTTTCTTAGGAAGTTCACGTAGCAGTTTTAGTGTCCATATTTGTAATCAGCGTTCAAGACTCTATCGATACATCTAGGTCTCCTTCCAAAGTTCCATGGGAAGTTCAAAGCATTTCTGGTTAGTACCTCAAAATGATATCGTTAAGTGTTGTTCTACGCCAGCTCTTCCCGCCCTGTTGAACTCCTTTGAGTTTTTTGCTGTTGTAACGAACACGAGTGATCTGAAGATAGCAAAGATAGAATTTGTTTTGCGCTTTAGCGGCCTCTACCCATGATCAAACTTATCGTAAGCCTCTTGAAACCAAGTGGTAATAAAGACCCCACAAACCGGAGCTACGACTTCTCTGCTTCATGCGTGAGCATAATTGGACGTTCGAAAATTCATTATATTTTTTGTTTGATGCTCAATTTGTTTCGAGGGCTTCATATATATATGATGCAGATGATCTCATCTCAAGTGCTGACTTCAATTGCTGCACATGCGAAGCTTATTAGCTGTTGGTACACAAATGGGCTATGTGTGGATAATGGATCACTTTGGTCATGTTGATAATCAGAACGTTCCGGTAATGATTTTATCTTTCTGTCTTCGTTTCTGATGGTACTATAGAGACCTCAGCCCTCAAGGTCTCAGCGTTTATGCTCCAGGTGATGCGACCTCATCGAAGTGCAGTCACTAGATTAGCAATTGATGAGCCAGGGAATTATGTGATGAGTTGTGCCAACGATGGACGGGTAGTCATTTCTGGAATCGGATGTAACAATCTCAACCATGTAAGTGAAGTTTAATACATCGCTTAGATACCATTCTGGAGAGCTGTAATCCAATCGTTTTGACAGGTTGTAGCTCTGTCTGTGATGCCCCGCTCAATTGCCATTAGTCCGTCATTTTCTTTATCAACTTCCACCCCAATGTTTGTTATTGGTGAAAGGAATTTCGTCCTTCTATGAGAAGAAATTTTTCAACTACAAAGAGCTTGTGAGTCATTATTCTAAGATGAACTTTGCAATTTTTCGCTAGTCTCAAAGGTAGTGAACACAATGACTGGGAGTGGAGATTTGAAGACGTCTATGGTGGAAGGGTCTTAGAGGCGGTCCGACTGAAGACTCTAGCGAGCTGTTGAGGAGCTGGGTGTTCAGGCCGCCTTAAACGCCCCGCCAATGCCTTCAAATTGTCCAACTTCCCAGTCATAATGTCCACTGCTTTTGAGGTCAGGTTCATACTGGACCCTATGAACCATCGAACTTCCCCACATCTTAAAAGACATTCATTCCAGACAGTATTTCGTGGAGGAGAACAAGATGGCTTCATAACTCAGTGCTCTTGGCGACAATCTCTTATAGCGTTTACGTGTGATAAAGGAACAAGAATTTTCGATAGGTTGGTTCAATAGCATTTCATAGCAGTGTCGCATTGGTAAATTCTTCTGACCCTTTGACGGAACGAAAACTCCACAAAACCTTGGCCAGCGAGGAATGGGGAGCGGGTTTTTTGGTCAGTTGGTAAAGACGAAGGATCAGATGTCAGAAAAGCCTAGTGTCGTTATCCCTTGTCAGCCCTCTTTTGAGTCTTTTGTCAAGGCCTTTTTCAATGCTTTGAATTCTGATATTATTCTTGCGTGGCTGATCCTTAAGCAATACGATTCCATTCATCTTCCCAGACTCTTAGCTTGTCAGGTGTCTTATCATCGCTGTTGTCTGAAGTCAACGATGATTCGGCAATGAGTTAGCCATTTCTCAGGTCCTGAAGATTCTTAAAGCGAAAAGCAACAGCCCCAGCTCAATTGAAGCGACTGATAATGAAGTCGTGGGAAAGACGAGTCTGAAACTGTTTTGAACGCTAAGCATCAATCGATGAGAGACTATTAAATCTGTCTACCTTTCGGCTAT